ATATACGCATGCCCCCAAGGAAAACAAAATATGTCCACACAAACACTTCCACAGGACTGCACACTGCAGCATGATTCAGAAGAGCCAAAATAGAAAAAAACAATTATTCATCAAAGGATGGACAAACAAAATGGAGTATTGTCCATACAGTGAAATATCCAGCCATAATAGGAATGAAGTATTGATATATGTTATGGCATGGATAAAATCTTTAATTATGCCAAATAAAAGAGGTTATGCATGATTTGATCCCATCTATAGGACTATCCATAGGGACAATCCATAGACAGATTAGCTGTTGCCCAGGGCTGGGGTCAGGGGATAGACATTGACAGTTAAAGGGGTGTGTATTTTTCTATGGGTCAATAATGTTTTAGAATTAGTGGTTACAGTTGTACACCTGATAAATACACTAAAGACCACTGAACTGCATATCTTTAAATGGTGAATTATGTAATATATGAATCCCATCTCCTTAACCATTTTAACAAATAACACAGATGTGGAGGAATGCAGAGTCCACCTGGATTTAGTGCTGTGCCAGGTGGAACCTTTTGTCCTCCTCTTGTGCCTCTTCTGAGACTCTAATGGGAAGGAGATGCCCAGACTCCTGTCCTGGCAGGTGCAGGGGCAGCAGTCTGCAATCATTTAAAAGGTTTAGGGATGGAAAGATGGCTCAACAATAAAGAGTGCCTGCTGCTCTTACAGAAGACAGGAATTTGGCTCTCAGCACCCGTGTCAGGTGGCCCGCAACCATGTGTAACTCTAGCTCCAGGGATCCAACACCCTCTTCTTACATCTGCTTGCACTTATGTGGATGCACACACATAAACATAAATAATGAAATAAATCCTAAGAAAACACAGATCTGGAGTGATTACCTATTGAGCTATACTTGTTTGGTTATCTTGACCTTACACAGTGATGTCTGAAACCAGACCACACCAAGTGAGTCAGCTTTTCTCAACCACCAATTGGCTTCCAGTCAGCTGTAGAACAGGAACAGCCCATAAAACCTCAACTAATGGCAGGAGGCTCCACTTGTGACTTAGCTGACACTTGACTCAGTGCTGAACCACGGTAGAAGTTGAGAACACTGGGGAAGCTACGACAGCCCAAGATCTTTTTAAAAAATTAATTCAGGAGTTGGAAAGATGGTTCAGTGGTTAAAAGCACTGGCTGCTCTTAAACCTGGGTTCGATTCCCAACACCCACATGGTGGTTAACAACCACCATAACTCCAGTTCCAGGGAATCCAACTCCCTCTTCCGACCTCCACAGGCACTGCATGACACAGGTGCACCTACCTACATGCAGGCAATATACTTATACACATAAAATAAAAACAAAATATGTTTTTTAAAAAGATTCATTTTATTTTTAATTATGTATATGTGTGCATGTCTGTGTGTGGATGCCTGAGGAGGCCAGAGGGTATCAGATGTCCCAGAGCTGGAGTTACAAATGTGGGTGCTGCGAACTGAACTCAGGCCCTCTGGAAGAACAATAACTGCTTCTAAAAAGGCAGTCTGAGCTGGACACGATGGTTCCCAGGTGGTGTTTTAATCTAGCACTTGAGAGGCAGAGGCAGGCAGATCTCTGAGATCGGGGCCAGCCTGGTCTACCTAGTGAGTTCCAGGCCTGCTAAGGGCCACAGGGGAGATCCTATCTCAAAAAGACCAATAAATAAGAAAAAGTAGTCTGGGCCCCATTCCGAGACAGTCATCGCTGCATCCCTGAAATGCCTTCCAAAAACACTCTTGGCCCCTGACTCAGCACCCGGAGCAGAATGGAGCTGCAGAAGCCCCAGCAGAGTCCCTTTCCAATCCCCTTGAGCACTCCCTAACCAGCATGCCTCAGAAAAGTGGCTGGGCTTTGAAAGCAACTAATTCATTTTTTTAATTAAAAAATAATTTTTTTTGAATTTTGGTGCATGTCATAGAATACTTAAAATTTATTATTTTATGAGTGTTATGCTTGCATGTGTGTAAGTGCACCTGTGTCGTGCAATGCCCACAGAGGTCAGAAGAGGTCATCAGATCCCCTGGAACTAGAGTTATGGGTAGTTGTCAGCCACCATGTGGGTGCTGGGAACCAAACTCGGGTCCTCTGCAAGAGCAGCCAGTGCTCTTAGCTACTAAGTCATCTCTCCAACCTCTCCCTCATATATTTTTTTTTAACATGATTCTACCACATATGAAACCAAAATATGCCTGTTTATAATTTCTGCCTTCTGGAGCATGCATCTAATCCCCTTTCCATTTGACAGCTCTTCAGTGTTTGAAAACAAGAAATATGGCTTTGATGCATTCTATTTCTAAGCTACAGATGTCTGACTGCTTCTACCCTTCTTTAACAAATGCACTTCTCAGAGTGGAATCGGCCCTCTCTGAATGGCCTTTTGAAATTATGTATGTGCAGCTGAATGCGATACACCAATTGCCACAAACTCTTGACTTCTGATGACTTGGGATCTGGAAGTGTCCTGGAGTGTGGTGGCCTCACAGCCTCTGATGGAGGAGGTGTGACTAGACACAGAGTTTGCAGCTCTACTCAGTGGGCAGCACACTTGGGTAAGTGTAATTCATAAAGACTAGCAGAGCTACCTAAGCAAGAGAGAGCTCTGGGGGTTGGGGGGAAGGGGGAGTATGGGTATGTGAAACATTCACAGTTAAAATCATCTCAAGAGGGGGCTGGAGTGATGGCTCAGCAGTTAAGAACACTGTTCTTACAGAAGGACCCGGGTTTGAATCTCAGCACCCACACGGCAACTAACAACTGTCTGTAACTCCAGTTCCAGGGGATCCAACAGCCTCTTCTGTCCTCCATGGGCATTGCCCGACACGGGTGCACTTACCTACATGCAGGCAATACACACGTACCCATAAAATAAAAATATTTTTTTTTAAAATCTCAAAACAAGGCTAACAATCCTTATTAGCCACAGGGCTGCTGGAGAGACCCTGGGTCACCCCACTCCAAGGAAACAGAACAACCCGCCCTTTGGCTGTGCCCTTTGGTGTCCACAGCCCTCCCTCCCACTGCCCACTGCCCCTAGAGTTTGGGAAGCTGGGTGGCTCTTCTGAGCAGCTCTGCTGCCCTCTGGTGACCACTTCTGCAACAGCTTCGAGAAGGAAGGAGCCTCGTGACACACCTCCCAGGGTCCTGGAGGAACCACCCTGAGACAGAGGAAGGCAGCTTCTTAGATAGTGGGAGCCTTCAGCAATGCTACAGAAAGGAGTGGAGACAACTCAGGCACACCCAGGTGCGCCAGCTCCCAACAGAAGTGAAGTAAGCAAGATGTGCCTTCTTCATAAGGTCTGCCTGCTCTGTACAGATCACTTGACCACACGAATCTGGGTGAAGCAGATTCCCACCACCTCTCCCCTGTGTATGCAAATGCACCTATGCACTGAAGGTCACAGGTCAGCCTTGGTGTTCCTCAGGAGTCATCCACCTTGTGGTTTGAGACAAGATCTCATGCTAGGACCTGGGGTTTGCCCATCTGGCTAGGCTGACTGGCCAACAAGCCCCAGAGACACATCCAGCTCTATACTTGGGTGTTGGGAAGCCAACTTAGGTCCTCATGCTTGTATGACAAGCACTTTACCAACTGAGCTGTCTTCCTAGTTCCACTGCCCACCATCCCTTGAATGAAATAACACATGACAAGAGCCCAGCCAATGCCATGCTATATTATATCTCCAGTCATTAACTCCCTTGAAGTGACTGAAGGATGCCACTCTCCATGGACCAGCCTCATAGTCCTGCTGAAAACAGCTAAGGCAGGATGGAGGAATTGCTAAGAGGATTCCTGAAGAATCAGTAAGTAAATCCCACCAAATACCAAGTCAGCTTTCTGGAAAAATTGTGCCTAAGCCTGTCCTGGGAGCACACAGCCTTCCATTTATGAATTCAGAGTTGATCTCAAAGGAAATAACCAGGTTCAGAGTACACTTTCCCTGTTTTCACTTTTCAGTATGAGGCAAGGGAAAGGAGTCTGGGATAAATGGAAGGGGAATCCTTCAAAGTCTCTAACTCTCCAAACCCCAAAGGACGCCATGCTTGACTCCTTCGGAGAAGCCCCAGCCAACTCCAGACTGTGGCAGTGTGATGGAGAGCTGTCCTGGGAGAATGGGAAATCACCAACACCTTCTTTTTATGGTCCTGAGGATAAGACTCAGTAGAATAGGGCCTGATTTCTCAATTTCTTGCCAGGGAGGGGAGGATTGCATTTCAAAAGCACCTAAGACAATCAGACCTCAAATCACACCTCTGAACAAGAGGGCAGGGTGACCAGCCAACTGTGGAATCTCAGACCAGCTGCTGGTAAGGGGAGGGAAGGGCTCCCTCACCTTCAGCCTTTAGCCTGTCCCTTCCCCCCACTTACACATACATCCTTTTTCAAATGAAAAAGCCAGTCCTAGACTGGGTCAGGTTAATGACAGCTATTACCAATCTGGCCTCAATTTATCTCTTGTTCAGGTGGAAGAAGCAAAAATCTTAGATGGAAAAGGCTGCAATTTGGAGTTCTCTCCCAAGACTCTGCCTAGACTTTTTTTAAAAAAAACAAAACAAAACAAAACTTTTTGCACTGAGACAAAGGCAGCCATGGTAGGCGGGCCTCAGATCCACTGATCCACTCTCTCAGTTGTTCCACTCCCTCCCAGGGTGAGTCACAGACAGCCCCAGGGTGAGGAGTCTGGAAAGCTGAAGCCACAGGAACAGGCAGTGGTGCAGTTATTACTGTAATATCTGGGATGTTGCTTCCTTGTGGGACTCCCTCTCCCTGCCTGTAAGGCTCCCATTCAGGCTGTCAATGCAGAAGCCATAGAGGAGGGGACCGACTTCTATGCACGGAAGACACAGGTCCTGTGACCAGGCCAAGCTCAAGAGGCCTCTTACCTATCTGCATGACTCTGCCAAAGACGGATGTGTTGTCCACGGTGCTGCAGTTCCACCTCCTCTGTCGGAACTGGTGCTGGCACTCCCTGATGCCCATCTTGGCTCCCTCCCCGATGTAGGCCATGTGCTCCTGATACAACTGGCATAGCTTTCTCTGGCCTGGGGAGAGCCCAGGAAGCTGGCTGCACACAGGCTGAGCACCGATGATAAACATCTCAGGTCTCTGCACCGGGTTCATAGCTAGTGACCTACAACAGCAGTTCAGAAGGGGAGAAGGGCCGGGCAGTGAATGCACTTATGCTGTCTATTCCATTCATTCAACCCCACTATGCAGTGTTCTCTACATATACAGCCTTACTGTGGAAGTAAAGATGAGCAAAACAGAGCAGACCTTCAACAAAGGACATGTGGAGGGAAGACGAGGCATGAGCACAAATGTTTGCTGAAGATACCACGTGCCTCAGACAGATGGCTGCTTAGGAGAAGCCTGTATAAAACGAAGTAGCCAAATAGGGTATGGTGGTACATGTCAGTAATCCAAGCACATGGAGGCAGAGGCAGGATCGTCATGGGTTCAAGGCCAGCTTGGACTACATAGGGAGACCCTATTTCAAAAAATAAAGAACTGTTGTAAACAATGGGGGCAAGCAGGAGTGTGGCAGTGTAGTAATTCACTCAGAGGGCAGAAAGAGTGAATCATCAATAGGAAAACACAGGCCCTATTGAGGAATAATGAGTCTGGTTTAGGCAAGTTCAGGATGTGTGATGGAAAGCAACCCATTCCTTTAATGGAAGTCCCCTCGTATCATTATGATAGAATCCAGTCCACACATGTAACCACGTGACCATGTTCCCTGACTGTTCTCTTCCCCTACCTCTCCGTGTTCTCCAACCCTCTGCTGATCAGCGTGGAGACCACCTGATCATCGTCGACCGGATATAAAAATGTCAAATTAGCTGAGCAACTTAGGTGGTGATTGCCTGTCATTTCCATGTCTATTTGGCCTTAAAAACACAAGAAAGCCACCTGGTCCCACCATACCCTCTTCTGGCCTTCAGACTAATCAAGTAGGAATTTTACTTTCCCTGCTTCCACCAGTGAAAAAGAGATCGTAACACTGTATACACCTACACACACAAATACATTTTTTGTGATGGAATTGGGATCTCACTGTGTTCTCCAGGCTGACCTTGAACTCCTGGGATCAAGTGGTCCTGCATCAGCCTCCAGAGTAGATAGTGGTACAAGTCTATTTTTTGTGGTGGTGCTGGGAACTTCATCAATCATGCTATCAATATTTTTACTAGACAAATCAACAAGAACTATTTCTAACAATTCATAGAGGTGGAGAAAGGTTCAGGAACAAGTCCTTTTTCTCCTCATGAAACCTCACCTCCAGAAGCTTGAAGGGAGAAAAAGTTCTTCAGTTTTCCTGGGATGGAAGAGGCCCCTGAATCCCTCCGATAAAGGTACAGTTATTTCCAGAGTACCCCTCTCCATACCAGGAGGCCTTAACAGTACAGAGGGTAGACCTCAGTCCTCTCACTCACCACCAGGAACTGGCGTCAGTCAGTAGCTGGGCCCAGCTGGAGAGCAGAGCTGCAGTAAACAGCAAAGGGAGGCTGGGCATGGTCAGCCTCAGCCCGTCCCAGTACCCTGGGACCAACATCTTCCAAAGCAGAGCTCCCTGGAGGAAGAGGGAAGGAGAAGAGAGTCAGCATGCTAATGCCACAGGCAGGGGAGGTCCAGGAGAGAGTACAGTGCAGAAAAGCTTGAAGGATGAGCTCTAGGGAGACCTGAAGGCAAATTCTCCCCAGAGAAACTCAGTCCTTTCCAACCTCTAATCTCTCACCACAGAGGCTTTAAATCTCAGGTCAAACTTGGGACTCCCTCTCCAGACCTAACTCCTAAGGACACAAAGAACTGTGAAAAGAGGAATGAAAACAGTTTCAAGAAAAGCGTGCCTGGTGCAGCAATTAGGAAGCACGCATGCCCTTCTAGAAGATTCAGTGACAAGAAGGCCAACCATCCACCCTTTTTTACCACTCACTCCAGCCTAGATATTTACGTCTCTGACCCCTTCATTGTAGGGGTTAAACAACTCAAGAATTGGCTTGCCTATACCCAAATAGGAGCCTGTACCCTTTCTAAAGTTTTCCAAATGCAAATCCTCCTTTACTCCTAAGGAGTAGTGGTAGGAAAAACACCAATGACCTTTCACTTCTGAGAAAGGTAAAAAGCCATGCAGGAACCTCACAGGTTCAAGTCTGGTGACCAGTCTCCTCCATACTTCCACATGGAAGGCCTTTTCCAGCAGCAGCAGCAGCACAAAACAATGCCAGCTCTGGGCCACATCTCTTCAATCTTCCAAAGGCCCTGACATCCTCCCCTCTCTAGTTGCACCAATACTCCCATGCTTGCTTTGGGCAAAACACACCTTTCTTGGAAGCTGTGGACACACACAACTCTAGCATCCTAGAACAATAGAAAAATCGCCTCCTACTCCTCCCCACAGGTGCTCCACATCTCCAGTGCGTCCTCTTCCCAGACACACACACACACACACACGCGCACAGAATAAGCTCCAGGCAGCTCCACCCCCACTCACCATGCTGGTCTGGGGCTTCTGGGTCTCCGGGAGGGGGGGGGGCAGGGGCTTTAAGTCAGCCGTCTAGGAAATGTGGGTGACCTGGGGCCCCTAAGAGGGAGGGGGAGGCACGTGTGTGCCTGTACACACACACACACACACACACACACACACACACACACACGCACAGAATAAGCTCCAGGCAGCTCCACCCCTACTCACCATGCTGGTCTGGGGCTTCTGGGTCTCCGGGAGGGGGGGGGGCAGGTGCTTTAAGTCAGCCGTCTAGGAAATGTGGTTGACCTGGGGCCACTAAGAGGAAGGTGGCTGAACAGGACTCAAGAGTTGGGACATGCCCATTCCCCACCCCCTTTTGGTTTTTCTTCTTGAGATCTCCGCTGGGGCGGGGCACCAACAGGCAGGTGTGTGAGGCGGGCAGGGGGCAGATCAAAGGAGAGACTTGCTCCTTTGCCTTTGTCATGTAGAACCAGCTCGGAAATGATCCGGCCTCTAGCGGAGCCACTTACAGCTCCAACTTTCCGAACAGACACTGCAGCCTCTTCTAAAGGATGCCCCTCCTCCTGGACCCCCCCCATAAATCTTGCCCCATCCCTCAGGGCAGGAGGCCTGTGAATGGAGACCCAAGAGATGAAGCAGAGATAGGCTGGCTCCAGAAGCTAATGGCTTTATGGAGGGGAGGGGTCCAGGTCTGGGAGAGGGAGGACATACAAGAGAAAACTTCAAAGGATCTCCTTGTCCAAACATCTCCAGCTCCACCCACCGGTCCTTCTTGGGGACCATTCATCCCTCTCCTCAGACTGCCTTGACCAAACTACCACAGCCTGGCAAACTCCATACTCCCCATCAGCCCCCATTGGTCCTCAAACATCTGCACTGCCAGGTACCTGGAGACATCGATCTCCCTGGTTCTCTTCAGCCCGTCTCCCATCTCACACCCTTAAGGTTGCTAGGAAATCTTTCTGCAGGTCCTAGGTCTAACCAAAACCAGGGGCCCTGGTTTCAGAGTAACACCCCAGCCAATGCCTGCTAAAGTATGTGTTTTTGCCCACTGAAAGGTTGACAGGCTAGTCAGGGCTGCAAATCCCTCACCTCCCTGCCGCAAAAAAACGAAAACTGCAAGACTCCCAACAGCCCTCACCACCAAGTTCTTGGCCCACTACAAAGGAAAATTTTTAAGTTACCCCAAAACCCCAACCAAACCAAAAACCTCAAGCAAAAACAGCTCTAGCATGTAGTTCCTACTCTGCCTGCCAGGAGTGTGGTACCTGAAACATGGCACACACCAATGCCCTCAGGCATTCTGTCCTGACCAACAGATGCTAGCCACTCCTGAGTGGTCCTCGAACTGACACTGGACAGCCACCTGCATGTTTAACATGCTTGCAGGGCATGTGAGGAAGGACACCCAAGAAAGGTAAATGTTGGTGCTTGGTGACTGAGTTGGACAGAATGGAAACTTCCTGCCTCTAGTTGACTGAGGAGATCCCAGCAAGCAAGGCATGTGGACATACGGACATACAGAAAGACCCTTGGGCTGATCACTGCTGAGATCCACATCAAGACAAGGGGAGGTCCTCGTTGGTACAGGAAGCCAGACTAGTGAGTATCCAACAGGCGGGAAAGCTGAGCTCCTCCTTTGACTTTTATTATAATTACAGACTTCCAGAGATCTGAAAAGCACGCACACACCCCACTCTGCCCTGTGCCCTACTGAACAAGCCACTAGCATTTTTTTGGCCTTTTTGAGACAGGGTCTCCCTATAGTCGCAGCTGACCTGGAACTCACTAGGTAGACCAGGCTGGCCTCAAACTCACATTCACCTGCCTCTGCCTCCAGAGTTCGGGGATTAAAGGCGTGCGCAACCACGCCCAGCCACTAGCATTTTAAACACACCAAGTCAGTTAAGTATGCAGGAATCAGGGTGTGTCTATGTGGTAGAGGTGGGTGGAGGTGGGAATGAATGGATGAAGCCAGGGGCCTCCAGAATGCTATCCCCACGCTCTACCACTCAACTATACCTGAGCTAAGGTCTTTTTGATAGTAATTAGAAGTTTGAGCGGAAAGTATATACAAAATTCTGTCAGGGCCCTTTCAGAGAGACAGAAGGACCTGCTCAGACACCAGCTATGATCAGTTTCTCCACTGTTCATTCAACAAACTTGTTAAACATTTGTTGAGGGCTGAGTGTATGGCTCAGTGGTAGAGTGTTTGCTTAGTATGTTCCATTTCCGGCACTGCAAATAAGTGTGTGTGTGTATGTATGTGTGCGCGTGCGTGCATGGAGTACCTAATATGTACCAGTTACTACTCGAAATGCCAGTGTAAAGTCAGTGAACAAACAAATGCACAGTAAATTATATACAGTGACTATCAGGAAACAAAGAGGGGTAAGAAACAAGAAAGATAAAGGGTTACAGTCTACAGAATCAGGGTCTATAGAGAGCGCTACCTTCTCCAGCCTACTATGTGGATGGGATGTTGACGGGCTAAGTGACCCTCCTGCCCATCCAGATCCTCTATTGGCATGTCCAAGGTCCCAGAGACCTGCTGTCCTACTCTGCTACTGGACAGTAGAGGTGCATATTCAAAAGCAGGAAGTCTAGATGCTCTTCCTATTCTGCTAGGACTCAGTTGCCAGTTTTCATTTCCTTCAGAGAGCCATGTCTGTCCGGTCCAGCCCAGAGAGAAGACCCTGGCAGAGGGGAACAGGGAGGGGCCGTGTGAAGCTTAGAGGAAAAAAACTAGATTAGTCTTCAGAGACAACCTGCTGAAGGAACCAGGCCCTCAGGAGGAGGAGACCACGCTGCCAGCAGAGCTCTATTTAATCCATTGTGGTTTGGGGGTGCCAGATGCTTTGTGCTTTTGTTTCTTCCTGTAAGTCCTGGAGATGGCCTTGTTCATTTCTTTTCTCCATTGTCAGGACAGTGTTCAGTCTCAGAGGTACAATTCTTTTGTATTTAAATATTTCTATTACATTTGTGTGGGGGGATTGGGCATTTGTGCTGGAGGTCAGAGGACTTGTTGACTAAAACAAAAGGCTGCTGTGCTGGATAGCTTTAGTGTCAACTTGACATACCTAGGTTGAGGGAGCCTCAATTGGGGAATTTCCTTCATTAGAGTGGCCTGTGGCCATGTCCATGGGGCACCTTCTGGATCGTTGAGTGATGTGGGAGGGCCCAGCCCACTATGGGTGGTGCCACCCCTGGGCAGGTGGGCCTGTGTTCATAAGAAAGCAGGCTGAGCAGGGGCCAGGAGAGCAAGCCAGTAAGCAGCATTCCTCCATGGCCTGTGCTCCAGCTCCTGCCTCCAGCTTCCAACCCCAATTTCCTACCTTGGGCTTCCAGATGAACTGTGACCTGGGATATGTAAGCTAAATAAACTCTTTCCTCCCCAAGTTGGTAGTGGTCAGAGTATTTTGTCACAGCAATGGAGAAACAAACCAGAACACCTGCTTAGCGCTCAAGGGACTAGGAAGTAGGCTGTGGAGGCTGCCAGTGATAGAGACAGAGTCCTTTGGCTTCTACAAGACCCATTCCCCAGTTAGAGAGCTGTTGTTCCTTGTGTGTCTCCTTTTTTTTTTTTTGAGCCAGCACCTCACACTGTAGACCAGGCTGAGCCAAACCTCACTCTACAACCCAGGTTAACCTTGAACTTGCAGTAATCCTCCAGCCTTAGCCTCCGGAGTGCTAGGATTACAGGAGTACCCATCTGTGTACCTTATTTGGGCATCAATTGCTGATGGAGACCTTGGAGATTCCAGACCCCAGCTTCATCTCTATCTCCTTTCCTCAAAGACACAGACAACTCGCAGGTTTTCTAAGAGAGAACAGAGATGTTCTAATCTCACTTGGGAAAAATACCTCAAACCCACTCTAATTAGTCAGACACCAAGGATCAACTGCTGCTGCTGGATATGTGATCTGAGTAGGGCCTTGAAGAGGGGTGGGCTTCACATAGATGGATTTCATGTGATGGTGTGCTTTGCTCGGGGGCGGGGAGGGGGGATAGGAGAGGCACTGCTATGACAGAGGGCTTCGACCATTTCCACAGTTCTCAGGATAGCCCACGAGATTCTTCCAAAACCTGCCATTGACTTTTCATAGAGTATTCAATAGCAATTGCCTAGGAAGATGCCCATGCCTTCTCTTTCTGGATGCTGCCCTTCTGACCTAGAATCCATGGTTGAGTGAATACATGTTTCTAGAGAGCAAGGAGAAGAGAGAGAAACCACCACGGGTCTCCTTCCAACCCTGCTTGGACTCTGTCATCCACTTCTGGAAGGCAGCTATGCTCACCACTATACCACCAACTCAGAAGCCACCCACTTCTTAAACCTAGTGTTGTCCTTCTGGTTTCCTACCTCCCCACCCCCAACAAACACTTTACCCTGCATATCAAATCAATTGTGTCTCCAGAGGGTTTACTGTTTTTTGGGTTTTTTTTAAAACTACTGCTACAGTCTGAGAGACCAAACACAGCCTGCTAATTGACCTCTTTTCTCTCCAAACTGTGTCTTCTATCCTCTTCTTTATTAAATGAATTCTCACAAATCTCATTTTCTAATTCCAAAGCTCTCTAATTTTGCAAACTCAGGGTTTCTCACAGTGTGGTCCAGGACTAGCAATGTCAGCATCACTTGGAAATCTGTTAGAAACACAAATTCACAAGTTCCACCCACATAGCCAGTGTCTAGCAATCTTCTGTTGCTAAGGCAATTCTTTCTTTTTTTAGACTGGGTCTCCTTGTTGCCCCAGCTGGCCTGGAACTTGCTATGTAAACCAGGCTGGCCCCAATCTCACAGAGATCTGCCTGCTTCTGCCTCCTGAGTGCTGGGATTAAAGGTGTACATCACCATGCCTGGCAATGCAATTCTTTTGTATTTAAAAACTTCTATTACATTTATTTGTGTGTGGCAGTTGGGCATTTGTGCTGGAGGTCAGAGGATAACCTTTATATGGGTTCCAGGGATCAAATTCAGGTCATCAGGCTTTAGTAGCAAGTGCCTTACCCACTGAGCCATCTCATTGACCCTATCAATCTGGGCTTTTGGTTTGGTTTGAGACACGGTCTTCCTGTAGTCCCAGTGACCCTATCAATCTGGTGTTTTGGTTTATTTTTTAAGTGTATGAGTGTACTGCCTGCATGTGTGTAAGTGCACCTGTGTCATGCATGCCTGTGGTAGTCAGAAGAGGGTGTCGGATTCCCTGGAACTGGAGTTACGGGAGGTTATTGGCCATCATGTGGGTGCTGGGAATCTAACACAGTTCCTCTGCAAGAGCATCCAGTGCTCTTAACTACTGAGCCATCTCTCCAGTCCCATTGTTTATTTTGAGACCGGGTCTTCCTGTAGCCCCAGCTGGCCTGAAACTCACTATGTACACCAGGCTGGCCTCAATCTCACAGAGATTTAAAGGTGTGCACCACCTCACCTCACTTTTAAACAATCTGCTTTAAGGAGCCCTCCAGGTGATTATGATGTCCATGAAAATCTGAGAGCTACTTTCACAAAGCCATTCACAATAAAATGCAATGAATTAATGCACCAAGTCTTCCCAGTAACACTATGCATTTTAATGGAAAATGTCTACTTGTCAATGCCTTAAATCAACCCCTCTAGGATGATAAAGACCTCTGGGGCAGCAGCACCACCGGACACAAGCAAACCAAGCAATGTCTAGGATGAGTATATGTGATTTCAATCTGACAGTCATGTGTGGGCATGATTTAGAATTAACCGATGTAAAGCCAGGCATGGTAGTGCACACCTTTAAGCCCAGCACTCAGGTAGCAGAGACAGGTGGATCTCTGTGAGGCCACCCTGGTATACATAGAGAGTTCCAAGCCAGCTGGGGCTACAGGGAGACCCTATCTCAAAAAAACAAAAAAAAAAAGTAACTGATATGCACAACTCTGATTGTACTAAAACCCACTAAATTTCACACTTTGAATAGACTATATAGTACATGAGTTATACCTTGATAAAGCTGTTATCATTTAAAAATATAGTCATGCCAGGTGTGGTATGTACACACACATACTAAATAAATGTAATTTATAAAAAAGAATAGCAGTTCTAGGCTGGAAATGTTCCTCAGTGGTAGAAGGCATGCTTAGCATGCACAAGGCCATTGAGTTCCTTCCTCAGCACGCGCGCGCGCGCGCACACACACACACACACACACACACACACACACACACACGCAGGACAGCAGTCCTGTATTCACCTCCTACTGAAAATAGCACCAGTGTCCATCAACAGTGGATTTGTTGAACTAATTGTGTTCTATTGTTACAATGGAATATTATGCAGGAATAAAAATGTACAAGCGGGGCTAGAGAGATGGGTCAGCAGTTAAGAACACTGGCTATTCTTGCAGAAGACCTGGGTTCGAATCCCAGCACCCGTATGGCAGCTAACAACTGTCCATAACTCCAGTTCCAAGGGATCTGACATCCTCTTCTGTCCTCTGAGGGCATTGCATGGCATGGGTGCACTTACCCATATGCAGGCAAAACATGCATACACATAAAATAGCTCTGCTTCCCTGGGCCTGAAAAACCAGCACAGGCCTCTCTTCTACCTGCAGGCCTCTCTCTGGGGAAAGTCCATAGTGCCCTCCATGCCTTGACTTCCCCAGCCTCATTCACCCTCCCATCTCCCCTGTCGTTCTCTCCTCCGAGTTTGGGCCCTGCCCCATTCCTTGTCTTGGGGCCCCAGACACCTGGGGAACCAATACTGCTTCCTGATCTTTTTCATCCAGACCAACTTAGTGCCTTCTCTGGGCCCCAGGAGCACTGCTTCTGGGCCTGGCCCCACCCTCAACTCCCTCTGCTTCCCTGGGCCTGCACCACCCACCAGCCTCTTTCTGGGACACTGGGCTGACCTTTCCTCTTCCTGATCCTTCACATCCAGACCAACCCAGCTACTCAGTGCAGTCCCCCGGAGGCCTTGGGGCCTCTTTCCGCCCCATCAGCCTTTGCATCTCTTGGTGGCACAGCCACCAGCTGCCCTAGACCAGCATCTTTCCTGGGCCAGGCTCCCAGGCCAGTCCAACCCCCAAATTCCTGAGGCCAAAATCATTCCTGGAGGGATCCAGACCTTGGGAGAAAGCCTGAAAACAACAGACCCCCATCTGAATTGGGCCTCTGTGGGAACTCCGGAAGACAAAAGCAATCTGGCCATTCCAATATAAAATCAAAAGAGAGAACTGGAAGCTTAGATGAACCAGCTTTTCATGCCCAAAAAGTAAACCACAAAGACACATAAAGTTCACAAAAAGAAGCAGACCTAAACTTGAAGGCCTGAGTCTCACACAAGAATCAGAAATTACAAAAGAAATTCACATGTCAAAATCACAGAGAAAAAATAACATGAAAAACCAAAATAACATATCCCCAGCAAATACCAAGAGTTCTCTAGAGGAGTACAATGAGAACCCCCTAGAGATAATGCAGGATATGGAACTCAAAAGAACAATTATAAACATGACAAAAGAATTCAATAAATTTAAAGAACACACAAACAGGGGCTGGAGAGATGGCTCAGCAGTTAAGAACACTGGATGTTCTTGCAGAAGACCCAGGTTCAAATTGCAGCACCCACGTGGCAGCTAACAACTGTCCGTAACTCCAGTTCCAGAGGACCCAACAGCCTCTTCTGTCGTCCATGGGCATTGCACGACACGGGTGCACTTACTTACATACAGGCAATACACTCATACACATAAAAAATAAAAATAATAAAAAAGAAATGAAGAGATCTAAATTATAG